GATCAGTCTTTGGATGACAATGTTATAAGGGACAATAACTTGCAAATCAATAAATTGTACCAAGAAAGTGTTCCTGAACCAACTCTTCTGTGATGACAAACAGGAGGAAAGGAATGGTCTGCTTCCTGGAATAAGATAACTGTGTGAAAATACCTGCTTCAGTGACTCGATGAGAACCACGTGTCATTGTCATAGACATTGTTCACATGAAAATAGATGCTGACAAATTTCTAGAAAATGGTTTGGGATCTAAAAATGTTGGACATTCTACCAGAAATGATTTTTTGACTATGTTTTTATTTAAATGTCCTTAAAAGGGTGCCAAGGGGAAATACAAACTGTAGCAGAATCATCGTATACTCAAAATTGGTCAAGTCTGAGTAAATGAAGTTTGATATACTGGAAAAATTGCAAAAACTCAGCTTTTAATGACCACATTTGTGATCATGTTCCCGTCTAAGTAGCTCTGCTTGTGGCACCTTTTATATGTCTTTATTACCTTACTTACAAATTATAACTGTCCGCTGTCTTGTCAGTCTCTTCTCATAGGGACTTCATTCATTTAACTCAGTCAGCAGAGATCGACTGCCCTATTGCCTGCCAGGTGCTGAGGATACAGCAGAGAACCCGTCAGACAAAAAGATATGCCTTAAAGTTTGTACTTCCGTGTCAGATACTAGAAGTAGAAACTAGATAAATAAGCAAAATATGTCATATGTTGGGATTTCTCTAAATATCACTCTGTGTGTCATTAGCACCTAGCACCATGCCTGGACAGAGCAGACACTGATAAACGACTCACTGCTGGGTTGATTTACTTTCGTGACTACTCAGAGGGGCGGAAGAAGCATAACTCTTGAATTTACTGTTGCTTTTGATTGTGAACAGCCCCTGGAGTCCTGGCACCAGTCAACAGATATACAGACTTAGGGTAGGGGATGATGGAGTAACTTCCAGAATACGACTGTAGTGAATCTGAGCTCTGTTATCTGTGAGTAAAGTAGCCTGGCAGATTCATTAATTCAGTGACCTTAACAGTTAATATAATTGTATTATGTGGCCCAAAATGAATGGAGATTTTTATTGTATCGTCTATCACTTTTGCTCTTTGTAACTAACAATGAACATAAACACTCCTGCCCATACACTTCTTTGATTTCATTATTCCTCTCTCATCTTAATGTTGAGTGATGTGAGAAATACCAGGTCAGTTAATTGATTTTTCCATAGAATATTCCAAACACTTGGCCCTGTCCACTTCTCAGTTAGAATTCTAGTAATTAATGAAGTTGACCAACTGTAACCTACTAAGCTTCTAAAGGAAGAGATTTTAGAAAGTAACACATCATAGTTCCTTGTGTCAGGTAGCTCCTGGAAACGAGGTGAAAGGCTGTGGATGTGATGAGAATCTGTGCACAACTGTCTGGAATCCAAGTTCGGGTGGGCTGGCTGGAGAACAGTGCTTTCAATGCCTGTGAAATGACTGTTGGCGGAGCCCAGGGAAAATGGTAGACATTCCAGTCCTTACTCCAACTCCCAGACGTCTACCCGTCTCATCAGGGCTGAAATTCCGAGCAGTCCTGCAGCACCTCACTCTCATACCCGTGGGCATTCATAAATAATTAACAGTTCTGATCCATTAGTACAATAGTACCTGCCCACCTTGGAGATGTGGGTTTGGTTCCAGACCACAGCAATAAAGCAAATATCACAATAAAGCAAGTCACACAAAGTTTTTGGTTTCCTAGGGCATCTAAAAGTTATGTTTACACTATATGGTAGGCTATTAAGTGTGTGTAATATCTTTATGTCTGAAAAAAATGTGCATACATTAATTTAAAAATACTTCATTGCTAAAAGATGCTAACCATCATCTGACGACACAAGGTTGCCACAAACCTTCAATTTGTAAAAAGTCCAATATCTACAAACACAATAAAGCAAAGCTCAATATAGCGAGGTATGCGTGTGTATTTCAACAGATTACTTGGGAAAAAAGTACAGATTACAGAAGCAATGCATGATCTACCTAACACATTAGTAAATTAGAGACAAACAAAGGAGAAAATAAAAATCCTCTGTAGTTCTACTATCTAGAGTTAACTAATGAAAACAGTGAAATACATCCCCCCTTTTTTCCTATGCATTATGAATCACGTATTTGGATTTTTTTCAAAATTGGGATCACACAGTCAATTCAGTTTGGTAACTTGCTTTTTAACAATTAACACTGAATCATACACGTTAATACTTACATATTTTTTCCATTACATGAAATTACCATAATTTATCTATTGTTGGATACTTGGGTCTTCCTGAACTTTCAGTCATATTCTGTTATCAATGATACACTAATGATCTTTGTTTTATGTAAATATTCCATCCACGTCTTTATTGGTGGCTAAGTGGTTGGTGCTTCTCCCAAGCTGGACCCCAGAGCAACCTCTCTTCCAGGCCGGGGCTGCGGGTGAGTCCTGGGCACTGCCCTGGTGTTCTGGAGAGAAGCCTCAGCAGAGCACTCAATGGCTGGCTGCCCTCAGCAGAGGACTCAATGTTTATTCACGGCTGGTGACAACACTGCTGCCTGCAAGGGAGGGAGGAGGGTCGGAGAAGTACGTGCCATGTAACTCAGACATTTTAAATTTGCATGTTTCTAAACTTGGCCCAGCTGTTCCATGCAGTTACACCGAGCATCTTTGTTCCCAACTACACAAAGCAGTGTGTTGGATGGACTTTCAGATCTCCAGGAACACTCCTAGTCGTTAATGGGAAATGCATTCACTTAATATTCATGAGGCAAGAAAAAGATTCATTCCTTCATCCTTGAACCAAAAATCCCCGCAAAAGCTCAGCAGATTGATTATAAGTTCCACGAGGATAGGCAATGTCTGCTTTGTTTGCCGTTGTGTCCTCAGTGCCTAGCACGTTGCCTGGCACATAGCAGATAATCAATAGATATTTAATGAGTAAACAAAAAGCATAAAGTTAAAATATCTTAATCTAACAGTCAACTGAGTCTTGGCCCTGCTTGCTTCTAAGAGAAACAAGGCTCAACTAGGCTTACTTCTTCAGTCCTGTTGGCCAACTTGAGGCGCAGTGATAGGAGTCTGTCCCTGACCCAGGTACTATTGTGTGGGGACTAGTATTCTCTGTGTTGAAACTTGTTGGCTTTATTCAGCTAGAGAATCTTTAGGCCCGCAGTTTGATACATTGTTCCACTAGGCAATGAACTGTAAAGGAAAGAACCGTTTCCCAAAGGATCTGCATGGACTCAAGATCTTGTTCCTTTTAGTGGCAACAGACCACCCTGAAATCCTTCACTAGTGGATGCTGTTGGGTTAAAACTTTTAGAGATATTCTAAGCCTCAAAATATTAGACCACTGTGATTGATGATCAGATGATTCTCTGATGACTAGTTGTGTGTGTCTCAAAATAGCCTCAAGAAATTAAAAAAATTACAGCTTTGTTCATTTTTGTAATTATTGAGAACATCTTAGGTATCAGCTTTCTACTGGATATTAGAAATAAAAAGAAAGGGAGGGATATATATATATACACACACACACAGGTAAATATATACTTATCATGCAGTGTGCTAAGTGAACAACTTGCTGATTCATTTCAGTAAAGTTGGGGAAAGTTTCCTGGAGGTGAGCCCATTTTTCATGGGATTTGAAGGATGGATAGGAGTTCGTCAGGCAGAGAAAAGGAGAGTAGAAGTTCAAAACAAAGAGAGTCAAACAAGCCAAAGCTCAGAAGGGCATGGTGTACCTGGGACAGGTGAGGCCTCACAATGGTTGAAGCAGAGGGTACTTGGAGGGGACATGAAGTTGTAGAGGTGAACTTTAGATGCATCATCAAGGAGCCAAGTCAGGAGTTTGTACTTTGTGGTGTAGATAATGAAGGTTTTGGTAAAGAATATTTTTCCTTCAGCCATTAGTATCACCAGATCAGATTAAGACATTTCCTTTAGATGATGGTCTATTAAGAAGACCAAGGAGTACTTGATTTTCTTTTCATTTGGGTTTTAGAATTTGTTACATCTTCTCTTAATTCTGGTGGCATAATAGTCTGTCTCTCTTAATTTTTCAGTTTTACCTTTTGTTTGTTTATTGGTTCTTTGGTTTTATATCCAAGGTGTTTTCAAAGATGTCTTGTTTGTCTGTTTTGCAACTGTTTAGTTAAAAGTTAGAGCTGGGCTCAGTGATTAGACTATTTCTAGCATATAGCTGGGACCACGTATGGAACTTATTTCTACAAAATGGTCTTTAACATCATGAGTGGTCAGGAAATGGACCCAAGAGACCCAAATGTACATTGTTATTGTTACATCTCAAAGGTAATGAAGCGGGGTGGGGAACTCATTTCCTCAAAGCTCATAGGAAATTCCATTGCACTTTTGGAATATTTGAGCCAAATTAAGGCTAAGGTAAGAGATGAAGAAAAGGATATATGAAAGAGAAGATATCGGTATCATTGTACTTGCCAAGCAGAAAATTCTAAAAGTGACATTCCAGAACAATATAACATACAATGTGCAAATTAATATCAGATGCTCTAAATTAATTTTTAAAACCTCTCAGCTATAGTTTAGCTTATCTATACTTTAATTTATTTACATAAGTAAACTTTAGTTTTTTTCATTGAAATATACAAATATGTGTTGGCTTTGAACGTACTATCCCCGGAAGTGAAGAAAAGATCAGTTACTAGGATCAGTGCTTGTTCTCTCTTGGGTCATTCTATTTGTGCACATCTGACTTACCAAATAAATTATCGTCTTTGGAGTTCTGATGTCAATTTGAATGCGAAGGATTCAGGTGTCTACATCCATGTTTCTGCTACTGTTGGTGTCTTTTTGTCAGTGCTCTGCAAGAGAACCTCACTTTGTAGAAAGTGAAGTGACTACCACGTAGCATAACTAGTTTAGGTAAAAACACTGTAGGACTGAGAAAATGTCTATCAACCAACCAAATTCCCTATTTTGTTTGTTTTGCAGATGACAATGGCCAACATTGGAATAAACGGAAATGGTTTTCAGCAGGCCTGTGAAGCAATCCTTTTTACTCTTCGAATGGCGACGTGGAATCAAATCTTAGATCCCTGGGTGTATATTCTTCTGCGGAAGGCTGTCCTCAAGAACCTCTACAAGCTCGCCAGGCGCTGCTGTGGGGTGAACGTCATCAGCCTGCATGTTTGGGAGCTTAGCTCCATTAAAAATTCCCTGAAGGTTGCTGCTGTTTCTGAGTCTCCCATCGCAGAGAAAGGAGCTCAGCAAGTGCCTGGTTCAGCGGGACAGTAAGTCAGCATGGATCTAGGACGGAATTAGAAACAGTTTTGGCAGTATCTCAGTTCATTATATAAATATGTAAAGCCCAACTGGAAAAATCAGCCCTGAACAGGCAGTTGGGGGGCACGTTTGTCAGATTTGGCTTTTGACATTTGTTCAATTAACTGTATAGTTGCACATCTTTCCATGTTTTTGTCAACTGTAAACGTGATGAAATAACGCCATGGGAGTCAAACTGAAAGCAATATTGGGCTTATCTGTGGTGTTGATACTTTTGGAGTGAGTGACTCTGTGGAACCCTGTAGCATGTACATGGCCTGTTTGCCAAGTCACATCACAGGGATTCACTGTGGCTTCTTACAATGACCTCAATATACGTGAGGTGTGGCTGTCAGCTTGCCTGACCTTGGAAGCCTGGTTAGAATGAGCCCATTCTTGTCATATTTGACAGATCTGACTGCCTTCACTTATTATTATGAAGGTCAATTGCTGTTTGAAGATATTCTTTTTGTCATAGATTTGTGCAGTTTCCTAGTCACCACCCTTGCCTCTGAAAATTCTAGTGCATAGTCAATAATTTTTAGAGAAACAAAGGATCTGTCAGCACATGCATAGATGACTTGCATTACATGACGGTTCCTGAGAAGCTCTGCTGTAGATGATGCAAACAAGCAGGACTTATGTCCCAAGTGACAGGTGCGTAGAATGTTGGCAAAGGCGCTGTACCTTAAGCTGTCGTTTCTGTGTCAGACAGCAAAAGAAACACAACCTCTAGAGTATGATATTCAAAGACCACCATGCAGCTAGTGTGTTTCTGCTTTCCATTTACACACACACACACATACACAGTATATGAGAAATTTCAGTTGAAAGAGGTCTCATTAAATCTGTAAGATGGCATCTTCTAAAGAGCCTAGACTACCAGTGTCAAGGGGAGGGCTGGCAATTAGCCAGGCATTTGGAGACCCTGATAATGGGGAACCAAGAGAGCAAGGGATACAATTCTCTCCCCATTTCCCCATACTACTGTAAACGTTTTCTTTGCTTGTTTGTATAATTTAACCCAAAGAGTTTTCATAATCATCCCAAATGTCCTGAGTCTATCAGAGCATAGGGTAGCTAGTTCTGCCTTATAGTAGTGAAATTGCATTTCTGTAAAAAAGAGTTCTTTGCCTTTGTTAACTGGTGTCTTTAAGAATTACTCTTACCCTGGAGACTGATGGTAGATCCTCTAGGAAATCTGTGCAGTTCAATTAGGCTTAAATTAGTATTTTCACAAATTTTTGCTTTTGGCTGGTAATTTACATTGGATGTCATTGTTAACTTTGGTGAATTTTGATAAATTCTTAGGAATAAATGAAAAAAAACTCAGCAAATAGCCTCACTGAAGATTTAAAGACAACTATTATTTTCTAGTGAATTTAAAGTAGGGCAACAGACATATCCACACACTGGCATGGGATATTCTTTGTGTATGACCGGTGAATGATTAATCACACACATTTAGACCATTCTTATGTATAGAGCACATAGTAGATGCTCGATAGTTGCAAAATTGAATCACTGGCAAGAATTTCTTGGTGCAAAATGAGCATGGATGTGCAAAAAAGTTTTTGTACATTTTTAATTTAAACTGACAATCACATATTGGGTTATTTTGAGGTACATGTATATTACCAGTGTATATGCTTTTAAAAAAGCCACTGCAATTTGTGATTGCTGTTATATTACATAAAGGTTCTCATGTGTTTTAGAAACACTTAAAGTCTAAAAGAACTTTTAGGTGGTTTAGAGGAGATATTTATTTCCCATAGTTGCTTGAGAGAGTGTTGGCGTTGTATAAACTGAGGCACAAAGAACCGAAGCTCCGTTCTTTCTCCCATCACCGGATAGGATGCAAACACTCCCGTGGGTCCTGATCAGGGAGAGCCATGGAGGAGAAACCCTCATCCAGGGTTTTAGACCTCTTCTTCTTGAGGCTTCTAATCAAATGACAGATTTGTTGCTCTGTTGCCATGATGTCACCCTGGGACTGTGTATCTGTGTTGAGATCTTGTGACACGACCATGTGTGGGAATGTATGATCTTAGCATGCAAGATCTGGGGGAATGGCAGGGTGGTGAGTCTCTGTGTATCCTGGAAGGGTTATGTACATTCTCTGAGCAAAGGTTTAGGGCAACTAAACTGGTTTTATGATGATGTGAATCCCAAGAAGAAGACACTGAAAATTGGTAAAGAAAAACTTGTTAAAGAATGTATGTTTACATTGTTTTAGGCTTTTTGCCCCAGGAAGATGAAACAAAGTGAACCTAACAATATGCATAGCTGACTGCAGAATTGTGTTTCTGTTACTATATGCATTTTAGTGTAGTTTGGCCACTCAGTGTATAATGAATAACAAAGTGGAACATCCACCAATAATTTTCATATAAATGTTCAGAGTGAAAGCACATTTGTTCAAATTACTGGAAATAAATAGTACAAATAGTGTTTAGCAAGTCTACCAATTTTGAAGATTTATGCTCAGTTTTCAAATGTATCATTAGAAAATCAGAGTAACTGAATTTCCCTTCTCGTTGGATAAAGTAGTATCTAGGCAACTTCGCACACAATTTGATCACATTGTTTCTGGAGAATTATGTTACTCTAGGCTAAATACTTGAAAATGCCAATTTTTAAATGATGTTAGCGAACATTAAAATAAATGGGACCAAAAAACCAATAGCACATGGGTCTTTAATGTTATGAATATAGAGACAGGTAATACTGATTCATAATTAGCTGCAGATGTATCCCAAAATATCAGACTTTTTACTGATGGATTTAACTAAGTGATAGAAATACATTCTTAGAACATTTTTTTTTTGAAAGCAGAAAGTCGCTTCTGATTATCTGTATTGCTGTAGTGGAAAATACTTCAAAGTTACACACACACGCACACATATATAGAGATGTATCTGTCTTGTATAACAAATGGTCTTGTTCGCTCATTTTCAGTCTTGGAAAAAAAAACCTGCTTTAGTTCTGTGCCTGAGTTTAGAATCCAGAGAAGATCATTTGTTAAATACATAAAGTGAACTTTTTTGTGAAACTCACTTTAACATCACCTGTATCACCATCATTGCTCCAAATTAATTGTCTAAGGTCGGAATATAAAGGATGAGAGTATATATTTTCTTACTTCTTTGTCTGAGAGTCAAAAAATATTTTACCATCTGGTAAATAGCGTTGGACTTCAACTTGCTGTTGACATCTTGATATTTAACAGCCGATGAAATGTGTTACCTGAATGAGTATATTTTGTGCTCTTCGTGCTTGTTGGATTGTATAAGAGTAAATAGTGATGTGTATATTTTGTTGCTTGCATCAGTGTGCAACTCATGTAATTTTAGTGCTTGAACTAGTTTAAAACATGAGATGATTTTTCAAAAATAAACTTGGACCAATGTTTATCAAGAGTGGTTATTTTAAGGAAGGTCATAAAAAACTTGGAACTTTTGAACCTAAACTGCCGTTCTTGTCTGCTCTGAGACGGGAAGAATTTCAGCGTATTTTGCATTAATACCTTGTGCAGTCCCTCTCCTGCCCCCTCTTCTGTGACACCTGCTTGCTTACTTTCTCCTGTGCCTCACCTTACGTAGGTAGGTCATAATTCCGATGGGAATCTGATCATTTCCCAGTGACCCAGATATGTCTTCGCTAACAAACAACCTCCAAATCTCAGGGCCATGAACCCAGAAAGATTTGTGTCTCACTGATGGCTTCTGTCCACTCAGAAGGGGAGCTTTGCTCATTACAACCACTCAGAGACCTCAGCTGACAATGTGGCCACCATCTTACGTGTTGCTGTTTGCCGTGCCAAAGGGCAGGAACAGTACAGTGGTCACTCACTGGCTTAGAGCATCCCCCTGGAGGTGATGCATATTACCTTTGCTCAAACGTCTCTGGCCAGTGCAGGTGATACGGCCCTACTAACTTCACATGGGGCAGGTAAGTGCAAGACTATGATGTGCCCAGGAGGAGAACTGAAAATAACTGCTGGACAGCACAGCTGATTTCCACTTTAGGTAACTTTTTTTCCATCCTTGCTTCCTAACAGCATTCAAAATGGAACCAGGTTTAAAACTTAAGAAAAAAATTATAAACATCATGGGATGAAAATATTTAGGTCTCATTCCTCTAAGTGTCTCACAATGTACAAAGATAAGGTAGAATGAAGGTCATGTATATTCCACATGCTTTCTGCAATTACAGAAACTTTAGATGACAAAAAGACACTATGGAATAAAAAGTGAAAACCTTGGTTCTTAAAAGTGTAGGGAGTGGGGCATTTCTGTATGATGCCCAAGAGTTGCCCAGTTGCTTTTCTAATAAATGAGAGTGCCTGAAATATATTTTTGCCTTTGCATTTTCAGTTTCCTTATAATAGAATATCGTGATACCTTGATATACTCCTCGCCATTGAATTTTATCAAACTGTTAGACAAACCAACGTAGTAATAGCAGCACTAGAGCGAGACTAAACTACGTTTCTTTCCTTTTTCTCCAAGTGACAACAGTGTCTTCATTTTGAACCGAAACATGACGGCATATGAAGTAAACCCAAAGCTTGGCTAAATTCAAATTTTAGTAATCTTGAGATGTCAGTTCTTATATACCAAATATTCTGTTTAAAGCTTCTATAGGGAGTCACTGCAAACAATTTGTGGTAGAGCTGTCTTTCTGCCCTGCAGAAATATCAACGGAAAGTAGTATGATGAAGATATGATACACAATTCTGAAAAAGTAGTTTGAAGGCTTTTATGTAATCAAAAACCTGTACAGAAAGGGGCTGGAAGAACACGGGCTGATACAGATTGACGTAAATAATCATACAGAAAAGACAAAGCAGACGTAAGTGAGGCCATGGTTTAGCTGGTTGTACATTTCTGCTTGGTGTGAAAAGGATTTTTGTGTAATGCTGTAGGCAGGCAGAACTCCCACAGTAGTCTGAAAATATTGCTCTCATTTTATAATCCTAACCAAAAGCCTTTTACAAGGCTATTTTGATAAATTTTACATTTTCTTCCCCACACTTTGAATGTTTATAATCTTCTTTGATCCTTGCATTTTCCACTCCTGTTTGAATCCAGCTGATCGTAAAATAATTTCCTGCTCCGGTAAAATAAATCTTTAGTCAGTTTTTGGCTTTTCAGAGGGGCACTGAAACTTTTTCAGTTTCCAAATAAAATATAATACAAATACTTTTGGGACAAGTCAATTATTATAGTGGATTTTATTAAAAACAATGAGAATAACAGTAGACAATAAAATGGACCAAAACTAAATAAAAATACTTGGACACAAAATGACATCTTAAAGGCACTGAAATACGAGGACTTTTATAAACATTCAAATTAGCAGTATTTCTATGGTAAAGGGAAAAAAAGCCACAGACGCCAAAGCCCAGGCTGTGCTCTTTTAAGACACAGCTCCACCTATGAAAGTTCTCCCTCTTATGAATAATGTATCGTTGGCTACGGGGAAACTTACAAACTGTATCAAACGTAAGCACAGATAAAAACATTTTAAGTAGCCACTTCTTTAAATAGTTATTCTCAAGTCTCAGTGCCAAATACACTAATTCATAAAACTTGAACTATTAAAAGAATGGAAAACAGCAACTGGACATAATTTCCTGACGATTGTGACATTTGTCATCACTTTATGATTTGGGTTTTATAAGATTAGTGATTTCCTCAGAGCAATGCTCAAAAGAAAATGCAAAACAAAGGGCTTAAAAATGTCCCAAGAATTAAAGAAGCTAAAATTAGAAGCACTATATAGCTATTTGCTTTCCAAATTGTGGTTAGGCAGATATTAAAATTGTCCTGTAGTGATGCTTTTAGCGATGGCTTAAGAAATAACGGCATTTCCCATGAGGTCGAATTCTCCAGAAGATTTAGCTCTGGCTGCTGTCGATCTTACCCTCTGTTTGGTTTGTGGTACACACCTCCCAACCCTTATTAACTGCACTAATCAGAAACTTATGAAGATCGGGAAGAGTCTTCCAAGAAGAACCCCATGTGCCAAGCCCTTGAGGTGAAAGGAGTGTAGATTTGTGTGGTGGCTGTGGTTTTGTGCCAAAATAAAGTAATCAACTGGCTTTTTCTAAATGTGCTACCCCATCCTCCATGCCTTTGATGATAAATTGTTGATCCTCTACTGGTTTAAGCCCATTGTAGTTTATGACCAACTAAAATATAAATATATATTTTGGACCAGTTTGGCTTTACATGTCAAGAGAATCTGTCACGGGTTGAGATTCCATTTAAAATTGAGACGGTAATTCATTCTGACTTAATGAAGCAGCACGAACCACTTAGCTTATGGGCTGGCATTGCTGTCGTTCACCTGTATGTGTTTAGAAACTTGCCAGAATTTTGATTTGTGCGGAGTAAGCACGGAGGGGAAGAGAATGATTTTAATGTCTCTAGCCTCTGAAGAAAAACTTCTGCAGATTTCAAGAATGGACGATGATCTACCATCACATTACAACACTGCTCAAGGAAGTATTTCAGCTCTCATAAGCATTGCCAGTAATTCATTACAAGATTATGACCACCCCATGAAATTCAACATTTCAGTTGTAATTTTGAGTAAATTTTGCAAGTAGGTAAGTGTCATTATTAAATTTGTAACTATTAATATCATCTGAGCCTGTGTAGTTCAACCTTCACTTGCCTAATGACACATTTCTTTATGGATACAAGTCATTCTTTGTGCTGTTGATTGAGAGAGGGTAGATGGCTGTTTAGTCCCAACATAAAAGCTTTTAAATTTTGCTCCCCATTGCAATCACCATGGCAAGTCAAGTATCATGTTTTACCTCATCTATAGCTGCCTAGCTGGGGTTTTCTTTCTTTCTTTTTTTTTTAATTAATTTTTTTAATTACTTTGTTTCCCCAAGAATCACCACTTTGACCATTAGAATGTGGAATTTTCTTCCTAAAGAAGAATTATGACTATTTTACCTACCTGCTTGCAAATTATTTCCATTTTTCATTGTCTTCAAATTTGGTCCAAATTACTTAGCGTGACAAACAAAGCTCTTTATTATCTTGTCTGTAGTGAATCCTTTCTGGAAAGTCTGGGCAATTCTATACACTACACTCCCTTCTCTGAGATTACTGAGTCTCCTGTCATTTTCAGAGGTGTTTACCAATAACTCTGGTAAACTAACGGAATTCGATGACAAGCAGGCCTCTTTGTCAAGTTGGGAAAATCAGATTCTCTTGCCTGGAATTTTGGATTCATAAGCTTCTCAGTGATCTAATTTGATCCTTACTTGGTATTATTATTCCACTATACTATGATGTCACTTTAAATAGGCAAAAATTTATTTCTTGGGAAAACTTGGGAAGACTTTTACACTATTTGTTTAAAAGCACAGAGAAATGATTAAAAACACCAGTCTTTTAAGATTAAGGTCACACAGCTGCTGTGAAAAATAACTTTGAACGTGGTGGTAAAATTAAAGAGGAACATGAATTACCTAATTAATAGGACTGGACATTGGAACCATCCATAAAAATTCCATTAGTCTGATGTTATCTAAAAGTAATTAAAAGTTTCTCTGTTTAGCATATATACTCTTAATACTACTCATTACTTTTTTTGTTTTTTTCCTAGAAATACACATGGCCACTTTTAATCTGCATTGTTAAGTATATATAATACATGAATATTACTTATTCTTCTTAAAAGTAGAATAAATTCTTTTAATTTATGTACAGAATGTATCTTTTTAAAAAGAAATATTCATTTCTGGTTGATAATTGGTTCTTAGAAATTTGAGGGGCAATAAAGTCCCTTGACATTACTAATGTCCATATACTTCTGCACCAATTTCAAGAGGACAGCTGGGAAAGGGGGAATAACGTGTGTGCGTCGGGAGCAGAGTGGTGGGGCATACCTTTTTTGAGTCATTGTACTTGATGCACATTTCTTAATCTTCAAGAAAACTCCATGAGACATGTATTATTGTCACTATTTTCAGTGAAACTGAAGTTAAGAAAATGCAATTTGTAGATTTCTAAAAGGCTTTGTGCATTCATCACATCACATCATAACACTACCATTAAAGGTAATAGTGTAGAGAATTATGTTAGTAATCCCCTACCCCTCTGCAAGAAACCAAAACCAAAACCAAAACCAAAACCAAAACCAAAACCAAAACCAAAAAACTGTTAGAAAAATTGCATTGATAAAGTGGTGGTTAGCAGAACAAGAGAAAATCTAAGATAGCCAATCTCATCTATGTTTAATTTTTGTCATGGGAATGTTAAATGATTTTACTTTTGGAATTACTAAACTAGGACAGACAAGTGTGATGCTGGGAGCTTGCAAGGCCCCAGTTTTAAAAATTATTTGCACCACTTTCTTTCACCGGTGCAGATGAAGGTTACCTAAA